CTACTCAGGAGGCTGAGGCAGGAGAATCACTTCTACCTGGGAGGTGGAGGTTGCAGTGGGATGGGATTGTGCCACTGTACTCTAGGCTGGGAGACAGCGAGACTCCATCTAAAAAAAAAAAAGAAGTGGGCTGGGCACAGTGCTCATACCTGTAATCCCAGTACTTTGGGAGACTGAGGTGGGAGGACTGCTTAAGCCCAGAGTTTGTAACCAGACTAACCTGGGCAGCATAGGGAGACCCCTAGGCAACGTAGAGCGACCCGTGTCTACATTTAAAAAAAAAAAAGAAAAGAAAAAATGGCCAGGTGCAGTGGCTCAGGCCTGTAACCCCAAGACTTTGGAAGACGGTCCAGGCGGGTGGAAGTTGAGGTCAGAAGTTTGAGACCATCCTGGTCAAACCCATCTCTACCAAAAATATAAAAAATTAGTCGGGTGTAGTGGCATGTGCCTGTAATCCCAGCTACTCAGGAGGCTGAGGCAGGAGAATCGCTTGAACTCAGGAGGCAGAGATTGCAGTGAGCCGAGATCGTGTCACCGGACTCCAGACTGGGTGACAGAGCGAGACTCCGTGTCACCAAAAAAGAAAAAAATGATGGAGGGGCCACTTTAGATAAACCTTGAGTTGGGGCTGGCTTGGGGGGAACACGTAAGCCATGATCAAAAAGTAGTAAGGGGCCCACCCTGAGGACTGCAGATGACATCTCTGTGTCTTGCGCAGGAGACACTGTCGGACATTCAGGAAGGTGCGCCGCTGGGGGTCCACCTGCCTTTCGTGGGCTACTCCTACTCCTGCATGGCCCTCAGGTAAGCACGACCCTGGGTGGTCTCCAGAGGCCCTCAGGCTGCCTGGGCTTCCCGGGGCCTGCTCCTCGGTGGCCAGGAGTTACAGGATCAGTCTTGGAACCTTATTGTTTTGGGAACATGGACTCCTAAGAAGCCAGAGTTGGAGGACCTTAAAATCTCAGATATATGTACTTCAGAATGTTAGATTCATTTCTAAAAGCTCAGAGCTGGCCAGGCACGGTGGCTCACACCTACAATCCCAGCACGTTGGGAGGCCGAGGTGGGCAGACGACCGCAGGTTGGGAGTTTGAGACCAGCCTGACCAACATGGGGAAACCCCATCTCTACTAAAAATACAAAATTAGCTGGGCATGGTGGCCCATGCTTGTAATCCCAGCTGCTTGGGAGGCTGAGGCAGGAGAATAACTTGAACCAGGGAGATGGAGGTTTCGGTGAGCTGAGATCACGTCATTGCACTCCAGCCTGGGGAACAAGAGTGAAACTTCGACTCAAAATAAATAAATAAATATATATACACACACATATATATATACAGAAAATTGAAAAAATTCAGCCAGGCATGGTGGTCTGTCCCTGCAGTCCTAGCTACTCAAGAGGCTGAAGTAGGAGGCTCACCTGAGCCTGGAGTTTGGGGCTTCAGTGAGGCATGATAGGTTCCAGCTGGGGCTAGTGTGAGGCCATACACATCATGCATTGCTGATCACAATCACAAAATACAGATAAGGACAAGGAAGTCAGTATCTTGTGAGCTCACCAGACGGCAGTGGTCCCTGGCTCACGTGCACAGAGACATGTTTAACTACTGTAGAACAGGTGGGGTTTTTTTTCTCTCCATACTACCTTTTCTACGAGAACAGGTGGTTTTCTAATCAGCTTTTATTACTGGAAAACATTACAAATGCCATTTCTTACGGTTAATGAATGCCAACTCGATTCTGAACCGCTGTGGGGCCTGAACCCACAGGATTGAACCCATCCTCTGTTAGACCCGGGTGCATGTCCAGGATAGCTAGGTCCTGAGCCATGTTCCCACAGGAGAGAGTGCTGGGTTGTAGGGGACAGCCACTTCTTACCCCAGGGAGGGGCTGTCCCCTTCCCACAGCTAAGCAGGGTGTGCTGACCTGGAGTCGCCATCTTAGGGTCCCATTCCCAGTCTTAGGACCACATCTGTGGAGGTGGCCAGAGTCAAGCAGTCTCCCTCATCAGGTCTGCAGAGGTCACATGTCAAAGGAGGAGACGAACTGACCCTAGAACATGGGGGTCTGGACCCTGAGTTCCTGCAGAAGGTTTATAAAGAGCAGCTCCCAGGGGCCCAAGGCCAGGGCTTCTCGTAAGCAGGGGAAGGGCTGTCAGCCCACCTGGGACTGTTCTCTTCACTCTGCCGCTCCCCTTCCTCGGATCAGGTGGTCTTTGAAGCAGCTGCCCCTTATCCACAGGCCAGGAGTTCCTGGTTCTCCGTTCAAGAATCAGCATTCTGTCTCCCTCTCTACTCCCTCCTCCTCTCCCCAGGGACAGTGAGGTCCCAGGCCCCACACCCATGGAACTGGAGGCTGAGCAGCTGCTTGAGCCACATGTACAAGCGCCCAGCCTGGAGCCCTCGGTGTCCCCACCAGATGAAACAGTAAGTTGGTAGAGGGGAGGGTCCATCAGGGACAAACAGAAAAGGCAAGGGCTTCCTGGGTGGGGTGCACTGTGGGGCCCTCTGGGAGCTTACTGAAGGAGTTACAGCAGGGCGTTTAAGGGTGTGTGTGTTGCAGGGGATCTGAGGAGCTTATCTTTGAACTGAGAGCTGGTGAAAAAGAAAAGTGCCAGATGGTCAGGCACGACCTTAAGGGCAAAGGCCTTGGGCAGGTGGGAATCCTGGTTTGTTCCTGAAAGTCACATAGTTTGGCTGAATCATTCCTGAGATGGCTGAAGAGGCCAGCAGAAAACAACCGGCAAGACCTTTTGTCCTGAGGGCATTAGGGAGCTGGAGGGATTTTGAGAAGCAGAGAGTCAGGGTCAAGTTGTGTTAGTGTTTTAGGACTAGCCCTCTAGTCCCTATGTGGATTGAGGGGACCAGACTCAGGGCTGGGGCTGAGGGGAGTAGGGAAGGGAGGGGGCTTGGATCATTGCAGAAGCGATGGCGATTCCAGAAATCCTGAGAGGGTGGAGGAGTAGGGGACGAGCGAGAATCCCACGCCTGGAACCAGTGCCCAAGTCCTGAGTCTTTCAGGAGCCACAGGCAGCCATAAGCCTGGTTCCCGTACACAGGCCGAAGTGGCAGTTCCAGCTGTTATCCCTGCGGTGGAGGCTGAGGCCGAGGTGACGCTGCGGGAGCTCCAGGAGGCCCTGGAGGAGGAAGTGCTCACCCGGCAGAGCCTGAGCCGGGAGATGGAAGCCATCCGCACGGCCAACCAGAACTTCGCCAGGTCAGGGTCGGGGCTCGGGGCCTGTGGCAACCCTTGGCAGCCCCTCTCGTCCAGCCCAGACGGACTCACCGTCCTTACTTCCCCACAGTCAACTACGCGAGGCTGAGGCTCGGAACCGGGACCTGGAGGCGCACGTCCGGCAGCTGCAAGAGCGCATGGAGTTGCTGCAGGCAGAGGGAGCCACAGGCAAGTCCCTCAAGCGTCCCCTTCCCGAGGGCCGGGAGGAGGTGGGCCGTCTGCTTCGTGGGGGCGTGTATGGACACCTGGGGGAGGAGAGGGACCCATGCTGGGGCACGCCGCGCCACTGCCCTCTTTCGCCCCTCCACGCGCCCTATGCCTCTTTCTTCTCCTTCCAGCTGTCACGGGGGTCCCCAGTCCCCGGGCCATGGATCCACCTTCCCATGTAAGACCCCTCTCTTTTCCCTGCCTCAGACCTGCTGCCCACTCTGCAGACTCCCTCCCTGGCTCCTGGTCTCCCCGTCCAGATACAGGGCTCACCCTACCTCTTTGCGACTTCAGAGGGGAGAAGCCCTTCATTCAGTCCCAGATCTCCCTCGGTTCAGGTCTCACCAGATCCCCTCTGGGATCTCCCTAGATAACCTCCCCGGCCTCGACTCCCCTCACTGTCTCTCGCCCCACCGCCGAGGGCTGGGCTGGGCTCCGATCGGGTCACCTGTCCCTTCTCTCTCCAGCTAGATGGCCCCCCGGCCGTGGCTCTGGGCCAGTGCCCGCTGGTGGGGCCAGGCCCCATGCACCGCCGCCACCTGCTGCTCCCTGCCAGGGTACGTCCGGCTGCCCACGCCCCCCCTCCGCCGCCGCGCCCCTAGCTCCACCCGCCCAGTGCCACCCGCTTAGCTGCGCATTTGCGGGGCTGGTCCCACCGCGGGAGGCAGGATCCTCGGGCAGCGAATCAACACAGGCCGCTAGGAAGCAGCCAATGACAAGTTCGGAGGCGATTCGAGGCTTGCGAGTGGATTAACAGCAACTGCAGACTGTTGGGGAGGGGGGCGAGGAGCAGGGAGGAGTGCGGGCCCACCTATGGGCGTAGGCGGGGCAAGTTCCAGGAGCCAATCAGAGGGCCGTGCCGGGTGCCGACCTCGCCCTCTCCCCGCAGGTCCCTAGGCCTGGCCTATCGGAGGCGCTTTCCCTGCTCCTGTTCGCCGCTGCTCTGGCTAGTGCCGCCACCCTGGGCTGCGCTGGGTTGGTGGCCCACGCCGGCCAACTCACCCCAATCTGGCGCCGTCCTGGAGCCGCCCTCGCCCCCTGAACCCTAGAACTCTCTTCGACTCGGGGGCCTTGTTGGAAGACTGAGCGCACCGGGCACGGCACAGAAGCCGCGCCCACCGCCTGCCAGTTCACACCGCTCTGAGCGTGGGTCTCCGCCCAGTTCCAGTCCTGTGATCCGGGCCCGCACCCTGGTGGCCGGGGAGGGAGGAGCCGGTTCCGCGGCCGGCAAACAGGGCTCGAGGGGGCCTTATAGCCGGGAATGCTGCTGCTACTGCTGCTGGGGGAATCGCAGGCCACTTCGTTTTTTCGGCTAGGCTGAGGCCACGACGTGGATGGGCAAACTGCGAGCCTGAAAAGGCGGCAAGTCGGGCTGTCCGTGTTCCACCCTCCACGCACCCCCCACCCAACTTCGGCTAGGAAACCGCAAATCCCCCTTGGGCATGATGCCCTGCTCTCCAGGGAGTGTCCGGCGCGACCTCTGCCCGCTTACTCGGGATATTTGCTTTTGCCAACCCCGCTTTTTCGGGGGATCCCGCGCCCCTCTCCTCACGTGCGCCGCTCTCGGAGCCCCAGCCGGCTCCACCCGCCTTGGCGGTTTGGATATTTATTGACCTCGTCCTCCGACTCGCTGACAGGCTGCAGGACCCCCAACACCCCGATCCACGTTTTGGGTGCACTGAGACCCCGACATTCCTCGGTATTTATTGTCTTTCCCCACCTAGGACCCCACTCCCGACCCTCGCGAATAAAAGGCCCTCCATCTGTCCAAAGCCCTGGACTCTGCAGTGTCCCCGGTTTGCGTTTTAGGCAGGAGGCTGCGCAGCGAGCCAATCCGAAGGCGAGTGGAGGCGGCCGAAGGTTTGAGAGGAGCTAGCGGGACGTGAAGCGGACGAATCAGCGGTGGGGGAGGAAAAGCCACGGGGCGGGGCTTTGGCGTCTGGCCAATAGAGGGTGAGCGGGCCACCCGGAGGCACCGCCCACGCCCAGCTGTGGCCCAGCTGCGGCACCAAGCGACTAGAAGAAGGGGGCTGGGCTGGTAGCGCGCGCGGCCATCCTCCTTCCACTGCGCCTGCGTACGCCACGCGCATCCGCTCTGGGGACGCAAGCTCCAGAAAAGTTGCTGCAAACTTTCTGGCCCGTTCCCCGCCCCTCCTCCCGGCCAGACCCGCCCCCCCTGCGGAGCCGGGAATTCCGAGGGGCGGAGCGCAGGCCGAGATGGGGAATGTGGGGGCCTGCAGAGGACCCTGGAGACGGAGGCGTGCAGAAGCGCAGTCTCGGAGCGGACGCTTCGCGCCCTTAGCCCTCCTGGACGGCCCGTTACCTTCTGCGTTGTCCCGATGGGGAAACTGAGGCCCTGAGCCAGAAGCACACGCGGGGGGAGGCCGAAAGCGCGGCCAGAGGCGGAGGGAAAACAAAGGGAGAATCACGGACAGACGGGGAGAGGGACGAACACACACACACAGGGACAGAGACCGGGTGGAGAGCTGGGTCTTGCCTTCCCGCTGTGGGGCGCAGGGTTGGCCTGGGGAGATCGAGAAGCGCGGGGAGTGGGGCGAAAAGGGGGGACAGGTGGGGGAGGGGGCTGGGGAAAGCCCAAGGGAGGAAGAGAAGGAGGGAGGAACTTCCCAAAGTTGCAAAACATGGCTACCTTGCCTGCGGAGCCGAGCGTGGGGCCGGCGGCCGGGGGGGAGGCGGTGGCGGCCACGGCGACCGAAGAGGAGGAGGAGGAAGCACGCCAGCTCCTGCAGACTTTGCAGGCGGCCGAGGGTGAGGCGGCGGCAGCGGCCGGGGCCGGGGCGGGTGAAGCGGCGGCGGGAGCGGAGGGCCCGGGATCCCCGGGCGTCCCCGGGTCGCCCCCCGAGGCCGCTGCCGAACCGCCCACGGGCCTCCGCTTCTCACCCGAGCAGGTGGCGTGTGTCTGCGAGGCGCTGCTCCAGGCGGGCCACGCCGGCCGCTTGAGCCGCTTCCTAGGCGCACTGCCCCCGGCCGAGCGCCTACGTGGCAGCGACCCGGTGCTGCGCGCGCGGGCCCTGGTGGCCTTCCAGCGGGGCGAGTACGCCGAGCTCTACCGGCTACTCGAGAGCCGCCCCTTCCCCGCCGCCCACCACGCCTTCCTGCAGGACCTCTACCTGCGCGCGCGCTACCACGAGGCCGAGCGGGCCCGCGGCCGCGCGCTGGGCGCAGTGGACAAGTATCGACTGCGCAAGAAGTTCCCGCTGCCCAAGACCATCTGGGACGGCGAGGAGACAGTCTACTGCTTCAAGGAGCGCTCCCGTGCCGCGCTCAAGGCCTGCTACCGCGGCAACCGCTACCCCACGCCGGACGAGAAGCGCCGCCTGGCCACGCTCACCGGCCTCTCGCTCACGCAGGTCAGCAACTGGTTCAAGAACCGGCGACAGCGCGATCGGACCGGGGCCAGTGGCGGCGCGCCCTGCAAGAGGTGAGGGGCCTCGGGAGGCACAAGTCCCACTTTCCCGGGGACATCCCGTCCACCAGCTCTCCTCCCCTGTGCCCACTGCTGGGGCCGGCACGCTGAGGTCCTCGGACTCCTGCCGCTCAAGTCCTGGGTGCCCGCGGGGCGCGGGGACTAAGCGTGGACGGCATAGGCACTCGCCCGAGCCTTCTCCCCGGTATCACTGCCCAGCACACGTCCCCTCTAACCGCGGCTCCATTCCGAGCTCCTGCCCAAGTCCCATCGGTGTTGGGGACCACACTGCGCGGCGCACTAGAAGGGTTGAGGAAAGAAGACGGGCCTGTGCCCACCCCACCCCGCGTAGGAGCTGCTTTCCAGCCCCCTTTCTTCCCTGCCCGTTACTCTTTCCCACCCGCCCCCACACCCCCTCCGGGCCTGGACAGCGTGGTCCGTCGTCTGCCTTTGTTGTGAAACGTGAACCTTCCCCAGCTCTGGTTTCCCTGTAACCCAAGCCCTTCCCCTCCCACCCTGAGCGCTGGCCTCTCCCTTCTCTGACGCCCCGCGGGGAGGGCACCGGGAACTGGGCTGGCGGCGCCTCCTCCCTCTCTCCAGGCCACTCGCCTGTTTTCCACCCAACCAAGGAACTTTTAGGGCTACCTGAGGGCTTAGCCTGAAGACCCCAGGCCGAGGCATGGGGAGAGCAAGGGCCTCTTCCCAGCGCTTCTCTGCAGTGGTGTCCACACATAGCTTGCAAAAGGCCCTCGGGTTTTGGGTGGTCTCAGAGGGGCTTTATAACTCCTGGAATGATCCGCTGAAGCTTGGGCCTGGGAAAAGTGGGAGAGCAGCCAGCTGGCTCTGCAGGAGGCCCCACAGTCTAAGGGACCCCAGCTAACAGCCATTTCTCTGGCCAGCGAGTCTGATGGGAATCCCATGACTGAGGACGAGTCCAGCCGAAGTCCTGAGGACCTGGAGAGAGGGGCGGCCCCAGTGTCTGCCGAGGCAGCAGCCCAGAGCTCCATATTCCTGGCAGGGGCCAGCCCTCCTGCGCCGTGCCCTGCCTCCTCCTCCATCCTGGTGAATGGGAGCTTCCTGGCTGCCAGCAGCTCCCCAGCAGTACTCCTCAACGGGGGTCCTGTCATCATCAATGGCCTGGCCCTGGGCGAGGCCTCCAGCCTGGGCCCGCTGCTGCTCACCGGGGGCGGGGGTGCCCCTCCACCGCAGCCCAGCCCTCAGGGGGCCAGTGAGGCCAAGACCTCCCTGGTCCTGGACCCTCAGACAGGGGAGGTGCGGCTGGAGGAGGCCCAGCCAGAGGCCCCCGAGACCAAAGGGGCCCAGGTGGCTGCTTCGGGACCAGCCCCTGGAGAGGAGGTCCCAGGGCCCCTGCCCCAAGTGGTGCCTGGCCCCCCACCAGCTGCCACCTTTCCTCTGCCCCCGGGGCCAGTGCCTGCTGTGGCTGCCCCGCAAGTGGTGCCACTCTCCCCACCCCCAGGGTACCCCACGGGGCTGAGCCCCACTTCCCCACTGTTGAACCTGCCCCAGGTGGTGCCCACCTCACAGGTGGTGACCCTGCCCCAAGCTGTGGGGCCACTGCAGCTGTTGGCAGCCGGGCCAGGCAGCCCTGTGAAGGTGGCAGCCGCAGCAGGCCCTGCCAACGTGCACCTGATCAACTCCGGGGTGGGCGTGACTGCCCTGCAGCTGCCTTCGGCCACTGCCCCAGGTACCCCCATTTTCTTCCCTCAGACCTGGGTAAGAGCCAGGGGAGGGAGGTGCAGTCATCTCAGAGAGGGAGGGGCTGTCTGTGGGCTCCTGGGGGGCATCTCATCCCTGGCAAGTCCCAGTGCCCCACTGGAAGGCTCCCTCCGCCCACCCTCCTGCCACAGTCTCCACCTCTGCCTGGCTTGGCCGGCTCTCCCAGGGCTCTCACCTACGCTGGGCCCCTCTCTCCCCACAGGAAACTTCCTCCTAGCCAATCCTGTGTCTGGGAGCCCCATCGTGACGGGTGTGGCCGTGCAGCAGGGCAAGATCATCCTCACCGCTACCTTCCCCACCAGCATGCTCGTCTCCCAGGTCCTGCCACCAGGCCCTGGCCTGGCCCTGCCCTTGAAGCCAGAGACGGCCATCTCTGTGCCTGAGGGAGGCCTCCCAGTGGCCCCCAGCCCTGCTCTCTCAGAGGCCCATGCCCTAGGCACCCTCTCCACGCAGCAGCCACCTCCCGCCGCCACCACCTCTGGCGCCAGCCTGCCCTTCTCCCCTGACTCCCCCGGCCTCCTGCCCAGCTTCCCAGCAGCCCCGCCGGAGGGGCTGATGCTGTCACCTGCAGCTGTGCCAGTCTGGCCAGCAGCGCTGGAACTAAGTGCAGGAACAGAGGGGCTGCTGGAAACAGAAAAGGGGCTGGGGACGCAGGCCTCCCACACCGTGCTGAGGCTGCCAGACCCTGACCCTGAGGGGCTGCTCCTGGGGGCCACTGCAGGGGGCGAGGTTGATGAGGGGCTAGAAGCTGAGGCCAAGGTTCTGACACAGCTCCAGTCAGTGCCTGTGGAGGAGCCCTTGGAACTGTGACCCAGCGCGGCCCCGACCCCGTGGCCTCACACAACAATGGTGCTGAAGACTTAGGGACAGGAGCTGGAGGAGGGAGACCCTGGACGCGATTGCTGAAGACCCCAGCCACCATGTCCTACCCGGGTTGCCTCTCCCAGCCCTGGTGATGCTGGGAGACGCGTCCCAGGTCACTTCCTGCCCAGGGCTCCTTCCCTTCTGGATGAGAGGCCTCTCTGTTACAGCCCTCCCCATGCTGTGCCCTGCCATATACACGGAGGACTCGGGGGTCTTGACTCAGGGGCCCTGCCCCTTCCACCTGGTACTAGCTGTGAGCAGAACACCCTGCCCCAGGGCCGGACTTCCAGACTTCAGAGCCTTCTCCCTGTCACTCCCTGAAACACTATTAATAGCTCTGCTGATAGAAAGCTGGTGTTGTCACAACTGCCTGGAATCCAAAGGTAGAGGACAGGCAGCCCCCACCCGAGACTGGAGACCCTCCCAAGCGTGGCATTTCCTGCCAGAGTGGGGGGCAGCTGTGGGGCGCTGGGGATCTTCCCCCACCAGCTCCCACCCTTGTCGTCACATCTGACCCAGACCAAAGAGTCCCTCATCCCCGGGGGCAGCCCTGCCCACTGTGTCCCCTTTGTATCCTAAATCTTTATTTTTCTAGGACATGTTATGCCTCCATTTTCAATTAAAATAAAGTTAGTGGACTACACCACCACCAGGGCTGTGGGGTGCCTTCCAGGGCCTGCCTAAAGCAGCACTAAACACAGCCCTAGTGGAGACCTGGCTTTCCCACTGCTGCCTCCCCGGGGAAAGGGCTTTGCTTTCGGATGCACAGGGCGGCTGGGGAGGGCGGGCAGTGAGGCCTCTTGCCAGCCGCAGGCCTCCAGATGAGGGCAGCAGGGGGACTTGGGAGGGCCTGCCCCCGTCTCTTGCTGGTAACAAAGGTCCCACTTGCTTTATTTTCTTTAAAACAATAAATAGCCTAAAAACAGAACAGGAGAGGGAGGAGTAGGGTGAGGTGAGCTTGAACAGGGCTGCAACCGTGTGGCTCTGGGGTGGGGAAGGAAAAAGCAGGGGGCTGGTAAACTTCACTCTCCACATTTCATTTTGGGTTCCTTTCCTGATAATCCCGGGGGAGAATCAGGGCAGCTGCAGGCGACTCTGGTGCTCTAGGCAAATGTGCCCAGCTGTGGGGGCCAATCAGTGCCCCCCTCCCTGGCCCCATGGGACCTGGCTAAGGGGACCTGCATCCTCAGGGGCTGGAGGCCCAGGAGGGACAAGTTCATTGATGGGTCCTGTCTTCCAGCAAGAGCCACCGTTGCCCTGAGGGGTAAGGGGAGCAGGTGAGGGGGCTGCCCTCTCATTGGAGGTGTGGGGGCAGCGGCAAGGCCTTCTCAGCCAGCAGCTGGTAGAAGGGCTTGGGTGTCTCCCAGTCCTCGTCGTCACTGCTGGAGCCATCCTGCTTCACGATGCGGTTGTGCTGGCGGCTGAACCTGCGAGCTTTGATGCTGGGGAGATGGCGGCAGGACAGCCCGGCTTCCTCACTCACCTCCGGGGGTCCCTGTCTCACCTCCACCCCAACCCCGTGGCCCCCGTAGCAGTGTGGGCCACCATTTTATCCTCTTCTGGGCAAACCTTGGGGCCACCAAGTCCTGGTCTGTAAGACGGGACTCGGCCAAGGGCTCTGGGATGTGTTCAGAGTTTCACTCAATTTTTCAGGGGCCAGTTTGGAAATGGGCAGGTGGCAGCTCCTTGAAGGTGGACAGGCCAGGGTTTGGGGGAGGCAAGGCGGCCAAGCGACAGGAAAATCAGACCATGCTTCAAGTAACTCGTGTGGTGGAGACAGCAAAGGGATTGAGGCAGGGGGTCCATGTCCACGTTTAGCTGTTCTCCAGCCTAGCAGTGGGGGGCACTCCTCCACCCCTGTCACCCCCAAGGGTTTCATAAGAACAGGCAACATGCCCAGTCTCCCATGCCATGACACCCAACGCTCTGGAGACAGAGCAGGGTTCCAGAGCAGGGAGGCCCTTCCACCCCCACACCTCGGGCCAGGGCCTCTCACCAGTATGGCCTCCGTTCCTGCTGGGTCATCACCCGCCACAGTTGGGCCAGCTCCTTGGTGGCAGCCGTGGAAGCGGTCCCAGGGCAGAATCTGGGACAGGAAGGAAGAGGAGGTAAGGAGAGGCCAGCGGGGTACCCTGACTGAGAACTCGGACTCTTGCTAACCCTGTGGGTCTATGAGGCCTCCAAGACCACCCTCTAGAGCTGAGGAGGCAGAGGGAGCTAGACCCAGGGGCGGGTCACAAGGGGGCACCCGGCATCCCCAGAGAGTGCAGGGGACCTGTGGCCACTGCTCCTGGCCCCCACATCCAGATCTTCCTGTAAAGGAACCAGCTCTTCTCCACTGTGGCTTGGGGGGGTCCCCCTTCCCCTGGCTCCAGGCCTGGCAATGACTGATTCCGGGTAGGCACCCAATCTACCAAAGTCAGCCTCAAGGATTTTGCTTAAAACCTTAGCGACCTCTCGTCCTCCAGGTCGCTCGGGTGGGAGACAGGACCCGAGCCTGCGCCTCCTGCGGTGACTCTGCCAGCCAGAGAATGAAGCCAGCCCGGAAGAGAGCAGAACTGAGCGAAAATGACAAAGATTCCAGACAGCCTTGTGTGATCCCTAAAACCATCTACTTCTCAAGGCAGTCTACACCCACCCGTGTTTTCTAGGTTATATAAGCTAATTCATTCCTTTCCTTGCTGGGCCTGGTGGCTCACACCTGTAATCCCAGCAATGTGGGAGGCTGAGGTGGGCAGATCACTGGAGGTGAGGCGTTCAAGATCAGCCCGGCCAACATGGTGAAACCCTGTCTCTACTAAAAATACAAAAATTAGCCGGGAGTGGTGGTGTGTGCCTGTAATCCCAGCTAATCAGGAGGCTGAGGCAGGAGAATCTGGGAGGCAGAGGTTGCTGTGAGCTATGATCACGCCCCTGCACTCCAGCCTAGGTGACAAGGTGAGACTCCATCTCAAAAAAATTTTTTTTTATTTCCTTTTCTTCTGAAGTCTGAAGTCTGAGTTGGGTTTCGGTGCTGACAATGAATGGGCCCTGTCCAATACGATGGGGCCGAGTTCAGTTCTGGGGGAGAACTGAGGTCCTGGAAGGGTCGGTGGGGTCTGGGAGGGGGAATGTCAGATCGTGTCAGACAGTGGGGAGCAGCATGGCCAGGCTTCGGGCAGAGAGCAAAGGCAGGGCCTTCCCCAGGGCCAAAGACGACCATACCCACCGGATGTACTGCTTCCGGTTCATCCTACAGAACATGATGAAGCCGTTGACACACTTTTTCTTCATCTGGGGTGGACAGGGGCCTTTCTTGTTCTCCTTGGGCTTCCCAGGGGCCCTGACTGTTTGGCCCTTCTTGGCATTTCTCTCAACTGCTGGCAGGGGTGAGGCCTGCCGGTTAGGGGTCCATGTGGTGTCTTCGTCGCCTTCATTGGAGCCCTCAGGGTTGGCCTGAGTCTTGGGGAGATGAAGGGACAACACTGTTCTCCCCCTCCATCTTTCTCCCTCGCTGTGGCCCAAGACACACCCTCCAAGGCCCCCGAAGACCCTCCTAAGTCCCACAGCCTGCCCCAGTTCTCTGTTTTGCTGGACCACTGCTACCGCCCGCTGAGCGAGAACAATGAGAGGTATATGTCTGGCTAGCACCTGATCTACCAAAGTCAGCCCCAAGGACTTTGCTTAAACCTTAGGGACCTCTCCTCCCCCAGGGTCGCTTGGGTGGGAGACAGGACCTGAGAACCCATCCTGCGGGGAGGGAGAGGGCGGTGAGAGAGGAAAGAGGCCCGCTGGCCCCGGCACGTGGCCACGTCTCTCACCTCTGGTTTCCTCCACAGGGGCTCCAAGTCGCTGTCCTCTGAGCTGAAACTGGAGCTGGAGCTGGAACTGGGGGTGGAGCTGGATGGCGCCTTGCTGTTCTCATTCAGGGAGAGGTAGCAGTGATCCAGCGAGATGGAGGACCCAGGCAGGCTGTGGGGTTCCAGAGGATCTTCGGGGGCCTTGGCGGGTGTGTCCTGGGCCATGATGAGGGAGAAAGATGGGATGGGAGACCAGTGGTACCCCTTTATTCCCCTAGAACGAAGGCCTCCTATGTTGGGGTAATATCTTTTTTTTTTTTTTTGGAGATGGAGTTGTGCTCTTGTTGCCCAGGCAGGAGTGCCATGGTGCGATCTTGGCTCACAGTAACCTCCACCTCCCAGGTTCAAGAGATTCTTCTGCCTCAACCTCCCAAGTAGCTGGGGTTACAGGAATGCACCACCACACCTGGCTAATTTTTATATTTTTAGTAGAGAAGGGGTTTTACCATGTTGGTCAGGCTGGTGTTGAACACCTGAACTTGTGATCTGCCTGCCTCAACCTCCCAAAGTACTGGGATTACAGGCATGGACCACCACAGCCAGCCAGTCTTAACATGTCTGAGCATCTATTTAATCTACAAAATAGTGGTCACAATCTATGCCTCACAGGGTTGAGAAGCACCCCATGCAGTGCCTGGGGCTAAGAACTCCGCCATTGGTGTCTGTTTTTGTTTCTGCCACCAATTCATCTACTCACTGAGGGGACACTGAAAGAAGAATCATGGATTAGGGGTGGGCTGCTGCTCCACTGGACAATGGTTTCCTGGAGTGCAAGGTGGCTACAGAGGTTGGTCCAGGGGCCTAGGAGGGTAGTCTTGGGTTTTGGTCTCTGTTCCAGCTGAGCATTCCTGGGGATCAGGGATCATTCTCTTTTCCTTTTTGTTTTTTGAGATGGAGTCTCACTCTGTCGCTCTGGCTGGAGTGCAGTGGCATGATCTCTGCTCACTGCATCCTCCACTTCCTGGGTTCAAGTGATTTTCTTGCCTCAGCCTCCTGAGTAGCTGGGACTACAGGCTCGCCCTACCACTCCCGGCTAACTTTTGTATTTTTAGTACAGACGGAGTTTCAACATACTGGTTAGGCTTGTCTTGAACTTCTAACTTTGTGATCTGCCCACACTGGCCTCCCAAAGTGCTGGGATTACAGGCATGAGCCACTGTGCCTGGCACCGCCCCCCCATGTCACTTTTTTTTTTTTTAAGACAGAGTCTTGCTCTGTCACCCAGGCTGGAGTGCAGTGGCGGGGTCTCGGCTCACTGCAACATCTGCCTCCCAGGTTCAAGCCATTCTCCCGTCTCAAGCTACTCCTTAGACTAACTACTCTTGTCTCCTATCCCACATAGCTGGGATTCTTTATTTTATTTTATTTTGTTTTTTTGAGACGGGCTTTTGCTCTAGTTGCCCAGGGTGGAGTGCAACTGCGCTATCTCGGCTCACTGCAACCTCGCCTCCCAGGTTTGAGCAATTCTCCTCCTCAGCCTCCTGAGTAGCTGGGATTACAGGCATGTGCTACCACACCCTACTAATTTTTGTATTTTTAGTAGGGACGGGATTTCGCCATGATGGCCAGGCTGGTCTCAAACTTCTGACCTCAGGTGATCTGCCCTCCTTGGCCTCCCAGTGCTGGGATTACAGGCATGAGCCACCACGCCTGACCAATTTTTGTATTTTTAGTAGAGATGGGGTTTCTCCATGTTGGCTAGGCTAGTCTCAAACTCATGACCTCAGGTGCTCCACCCGCCTCAGCCTCCCAAAGTGTTGGGATTACAGGTGTGAGCCACTGTACCCAGCCCATTCTCTTGATTTCAGTT